TAAAGGCGCGAGCCACCACCAGCTTCCTAAAAGAAAGGTGAGAAGCAAGGAGAGGAGATAGCACAGTCAGGAAACTGCCTATCACACACACACACACACACACACACACACACACACACACACAGAGAGAGAGAGAGAGAGAGAGAGAGAGAGAGAGAGAAAGAGATTCCCACAAACATGAGGGCCCGGTTATAACCCCAAGCACTCTTGTGCAAAAACCTGGTGGTGCGTGCATGTAACCCTGGAGACTGGAAGATCCCGGAGGCTCACAGGCCAGATGGTCTAGCCCAATTGGTGAGCCGCAGTTTCTTGTGTCTCAGAACATAAGAATAGCTCCTGAATAGCTCTAGGCTTCATACACTCGCACACATACATACATACACACTTGCATGTACACGCACACATACATGTATCTTTTGAAAGAAAGAAAGGAAGGAAGGAAGGAAGGAAGGAAGGAGAGAAAGAAAGAAAGAAAGAAAGAAAGAAAGAAAGAAAGAAAGAAAGAAAGGGAGGGAGGGAGGGCTGTCCATATAGGAGCCTAATAAATATTAGAGGCTTTGAGGTGCCATGATGGCCGCAATTACTTCCTGAAGCCCCGAGGGGCTGGGGTGTCTCAACGTTGCCAGCGAGGCTGCAGCTCCTTGCTCTCCCACTGCCTGGGAACATTATTCTCTGCTCACCCAAAGATCTCCTGTACCATTATTTGGACATAGGTTTTTATAACAAACCACTCTTGCATTTACATTTGAAAAATAACAGAGAGGCCTGGGAATGTTGCTCAGTGAGACAGCAATTGTCCAGGGTGCAGGAGGCGCGGACCTGATCCCCAGCGCCACAAGTAGAAAAGAGAGGGAAGGAGAGAGGGAGGGAGAGAGGGAGAGAGGAACTAACTGACTAAAACGTTCCCGTGAGTACCCTCGGGTGCCCTAGGCCTTGTTCCTTACTAGCTCGGATTCTACCTCTTGGCTGGGGCAGTCTTGGCTTCCTCATATCTGCTCCGAAGAGTAAGTTTCCTACTCCTGTCCTACTCCTCCCGGCCACAATTGAGACACCACAATTGACTGTGACACACACACACACACACACCACCTGTCACGAGAACCCCGGGTTGTGGTTGGAGAACTGGGAGCTTTTGACGTCTTACAGGTGGGGCCCCTTGCAGAAAGAGGATGAACCCTCGATTGCCTCTTCCAAGGGCCAGCACCGGCCCACCTGCCCCTAGGGAGTTAGGAGTGTCCTGTGCCTCAAGGCCCAGAACCTTCAGCTAAGGGTCCCGCCCTACAGTGGCTGGAGCGTCCCAGCTAGAGCTCTCACTTGCTTCGCAGAGGCCAGGCACATCTGAGGTTTTAACTAACTGGCTTCCCAGGAACTCCCTCCTGGCTTGTCTCTTGAGTTTCTTCTCCTTTGCTGTCGCTTCCTAGGTCAGGGTTTCCCAGGATGTAAAAACAACCGTAAGAGCTGCAAGAACCGAAACCAGCCCGGATAGACAGAAAAAGCGTGTGACTTCTCCCGGGACCCTGGAGTCGCTGGGACGTGGCGAGGCAGAGACCAGCCTTTCGGCCACCCGCAGCTGGACCGTCCGGGCCCTCGGCTTCCGAGGAGCTGCGCCCTCCCGTTTCAGGCGACACCAGACCCCCGTCCACTTTGTAGGTTCCCACCGACCACTCTTCGAGAGATCGAGAACAAGGAAGGAGACAGCGCGGCTTTTATTATTCGGTCTGGAAAAGCGAGGCACCGGCGTGGGCCGGGCCCGGGGCGGAGAGCGAGCTGGCTGGCGGTGCCCCGGCCTCTGCGGGCGGCGGGGCGGGGACTCCCGGGCCTGCGTAGAAACCCCGCTCCTGGAGATCGGCAGTTCCCAGCCTCGTTCCCGGGTCACCGACCGCCGGCTCTCGGAGCTCAGAGCCCGGGGAGGCGCTTCCCCCTTCCCCCAAGCGCTGCCACCACCCCGCTGCCCCGGAGTCCCGCGCGGGTGCGGGCAGCGCAGACCTCGATCCCTGCGGCCCCCAGCGCTCCTAAGCGACCTGCCCTGCCCTGCCCCGAGCCCTGCAGGTCCCCCCTGCCCCAGAACCACTGCCGGCCAGGGCCATCAGAGCCAGCTCCCTCCCGGGAGCTCGCGGCCACGGCCACGGCCGGCCGCCTGCGACGTCTCTGAGGTTTGTTTCCCAGGACCTTGGGGGCTGAAACTTGACTTGCGTGCGTGGCAAGGGTCCAGGAGAAATGAGGGGCTCTTCCCTTCCCCCACCCCCAGATCGCCCGCCTGGACAGAGGGGCGTGGTCGGCGGAGGCAGGGAGGGGCCCTTGGCTCTGGGGACCCGGGTGGGTGGCACGCAGACCAGCGCGTTGGGGCTCAGGTGGTTAAGGGGAGCCCTTTGCCGCGAACCCCGGCTGTTAGAATGCTCCAGCCTCCTCCCGGAGCCACCTGCCTGGAAGTCCCCATCGAGGCCCAGCTACTCTCCCAAGCAGAGAGACTCCGGGATCCGCCCGCGGAAAGAAGGGCTCCCCTTTCTCTCCTCCTGGCTCGGTGGCTTGGCGCGTGCTTGCCTTACCTGATTCTGGTGTGAGCCCAAGGCAACAAACTCTCGCCGTCTCACTGCCCCCGATAAACAAGGGCCCTTGGGACGCTGCCAGCCTCCAGAACGCGCTGGTAAATGGAGTCAGGTTCCAGTCCTGCGGCTGGAGGGCGCTGGGCTCTGACATTTGCTTTGAGTCTCCGTTTCGCCCCTCGCCCTCTGGCTTAGCTGGGGTGGGCCAGTGGGGAGCTTCCCCGAGGAAGCCTTAGATGCGCTCAGCAACACAACATTGGCGCCTCCAAATTTAGCAACGGAACAGTAACTGGTTGAGTTGGAAACCCCCTCCCCCCGACACACACACTCCCGTACTCCTCTGCGGGCACCCCAGTGGGCTGTACCCTTCCACAGTTTGGCGAGCTGATGAAGAAGAGGCTGGAACCTCAGTCCCCCAGGCCTTCTGGCCACTCAGACCTTTCTTTTGAGCAGTGAGGATTAGCCCAAATGATTGCAAGAGCCAGCTACAAGACTATTTCGTAATAACACTGCTAGGCTGAGCTGACCTGGGGGTAACTCCAAGGGCCGGAAGGAATTAGAGGGGCACAGCATCTCTCTCTCTCTCTCTCTCTCTCTCTCTCTCACACACACACACACACACACACACATACACACACACACACACACACACACACACTTTGCTCCTTTCCGGCCGCCAGGGTTGCAGCCTTCCTTGGGAATTGTTTGTGAGGCTGAATTGAGAGTCTAGAGCAGAGATGGTCTGTCCGAGACCTAGCCTTGCTCACAATACCCTCACAAAATGTGGGTTCTAGTCTCTCCAGATCCTGACGCTGGAAATCCCAGAGAGAAGTTCAAGCTGAAGTCTAGGAAGGACCTAGCTGGATATGGAAAGACTGAAGCTAGAGAAGCATTCAGGCAGCTAAGAGCTGGAAAACTGTTCTTGCGGAAGCCTCCAGTTCTGGGTTCTGGTTCCCAGACCCGTATCCCTCGGCTCACAGCTTCCCCTAAACTGTCCCTAACTCCAGCTCCGAGGTACTCTGACACTGCCGGCCTTGACCTGAATTCAGCTCAGGTGCACATAACGCCTTCCTACACAAACACACACACACACACACACCACACAAAGACACACAAAAATATTTGAAAATGCAAAATTTAAAAAAATAAATCACTAACGCAGACGACTGACTGGCACATTCTTAAAGCCTTTGCCATACGTGGTGTGAATGCTTTTAACTGCCAGCATTTGAGCGACTCTCCGGAGAGTTCAAGGCCAACCCAGTCTACATAGTAAGTTCCCAGGCAGTGAGGGGAACACCATGAGACTTTGTTTTAAAACAGCCGCCACAACCACCGCCAAAACCAAATCGCAAAGCCTACAGCATTTGGGGGACCCCGAGGGGACCTAGCTGTGAATACTAGTGCGCCTAAAACTGCGTGGTCAAGCTGTGTCCCCTTTCTGAGCTTTAACTAGTAAAGGGACTTTTTCGCATGGGTCACCATGACCCCCGACCACAGAGACAAACGGTGGTATGACCACCCCCTCCCCAAAATTCAACAACCGAGACCCTTTTGGTTGGGAGAGACACCAGGAGGCATTCCCTACCGGCTAGCCTCTCGCGCGCACACTCTGAGCTTCCCACTTCCCTCAAAAGAGTTGATCAGGAGCACCTTACGACCGCATAGGCCAAGTCCCAGGAGACCCAATCAGCAACTCATAAGGCTCAAAGCTCGTGGGCGCTTCTGGACTAGTGGGGGACCGCTATCACTTACATGGCTCCCTTCCGTCCTCCACAGCTGGGAAGGAAGAGCCCGTATGGGTCCCTCACGCCTAGGGTTATTTCCTAAGCAACCTAGCTACTGCGGTATTGGGCCCGAAAGGGACACCACCGCTTGTCCTCTCCGGAGCCGGAGGATGTTGCAATTCCCAGGGCCCTTCCTACCTCACTGCCCCTCCATCCCTCACGGATTCCGGAGGCCGCCATCCAGCCCCTCGCCGTGTCATAAAATATTTTATTGGAAAAAAAAGTCACCGTCTTCGCAAGAGGGGAGTAGAAGCCCCAGCGACATCAGGGACCAGGCATCAGCTCCTCCGGAGCGGACTCCGCAGGGCAGGGCGGGTGGGGTCTGCTCCCGGAAGCCCGGTCCCCAAGGCGTGGAAGCGGGTGTGTGCCTGCGGGAGTCCGAGCCCAGAGGGCCGGCTGGAGGCCGGGGGGAGGTGTGGGCGAGGAGCGGGACGTGAGTGCGCGTGGACCGCCGGGCCCCGCGGAGCTCCGAGGCAGCCCAGAAGCTTCGGTGGCGCCGGACGCGCCCGGCCCAGCCTCGGGGGCAGGAGCTCGCTGAGATCCCGGGTTGGCTCCCGGGCCCGTGTCCTTCCTTGGTTGGCCCTGAATTGTCCTCGTTCGAAGTAGTAATGAGACGTCTCGAAAGCCAGCGGAGCGGGCGCTGCGGGCCAGTCCCGGGGTCCCCGCCCGCGGCTCAGTCCTCGCGGGCCTCGCCCGGCGTCTCCGCGGGCTTCTCCGCCTCCTTGGCGCGCTCCTGCTCCGTGAGCTGCTCGCTCGTGGGGATGGAGTTCTTCTTGGGCCGCCCCTTGGGCTTGGTGGGGGACTCCAGGCCGCCGCCCTGCAGCACCTGTTCCGAGAAGGGGGACCGAGCAGTGCCAGGGTGAGGTGGGGGTCCGCCGGGGACCCAACCGTCGCCACCGGGGACCCCGACCCCGAGGAACCAGCGGCCGTCAAAGCGCTGCTCGGAGGAGCGGAGCTCGGGGCCCGGGACGGGAGAAAAGCTCAGCTCCCGGCGAACCCGGGTGGGAAGAGCGGAGGGCCCTGGGTGGGCTGCGCAGAAGCCTCGGGGTGAGGAGGGCGGGGAGGCAGACCTTGGAGGATGCCGGGGGACCGAGCCCCGAAAACCCCAGCCCGCGGGAAGCCACCGGCCACACTCACTATTTTCTTCCACTTCATCCTCCGGTTTTGGTACCAGGTCTTCACCTGCAGCTGGCTCAGGCCCAGGGACTCCGCGAGATCTATTCTGGAAAAGAGCAACGCGCGCCCTCAGCGGCTCGGCGGGCGCGCCGCCGGCCCGCAGTCCCCGCGAGCCCCTCTCTCCCGGCACTACCTGTCGGGGGTGGAGAGGTACTTCTGCTTCTCGAAGCGCTTCTCCAGGCCCATCAGCTGCAGCTCGGTGAACACCGTACGGCTCCGGCGGCCCTTCTTGGCTTTCGCGCCAGCTTCCCCGGAGGCGGCGGCTTCCAGCTTCCCGCGGAGCTGCAGCTCCAGCGGCAGGTGCGGGGCGCCCGCGGCCCCGGGCATCCCGGGCCCCGTGGCCAGCAGCGCTGAGCCCAGCCCCGAACAGCCGAGCGGTGCCAGTGGGAACTTGAACACCGCAGCTTGCTCGGCCTTGAGCACCGCTGCAGGGGGTGGGGGAAGCAGAGAGCAAGGGTGAGCCGGAGCCAGCTTCCAGGCCACTGCCCTTGGCGCAACCCGGATTCTGCGCTCGGCCGGAGCCAGCCTCTCCCTGAGGACTTAAATCAAGCCTTCTGGGCCACCGTCCTTGACGCAGCGGTACCGGGAAGTCCAGCAAGGAGCTCTGGGTTCCCGTGAGCCAGCAGGATTCTGAGAAATCTGAGATTTCAGGATTCTTAAGAGCAGAGAGTACGGGTGAATTTGGAGGGGGGGCCTTTCGCGTTTGGAAAAGAAGGCTGTGGGGTGTGGGCTTTTGCTTTTTCTTTTCGTGGGCTGCGCAGGACCTACACTGCCCTCTGACATCAACTAGGAGAGGGTCACCAGCGCATCCTTCGCACCCGAGAAAGGGCCTTCTTGTTGTCTCTGTTCACGCTTTTCCCCCATGAAGATGCTTCCGTGTTCTCTACTCCTAAACCGGCTATTTGCCCGCTTCAAACGAAATTACCAACAACGGAGCGGTTGGTAGTGAAAGGCGTGACAGAGGCTGGGAGCCAGATGACCCTCAAATAGGCAAACTGGCCCAACTGCCACAGACCGGAGTCTGGCGTCTGCCTCGGGTGGCCGAGCCCGAGTCTATGAAGGAGGCTTTCTTTCCTGGTGGGCTTCTCATAAAGGAGTGGGCCTCAACAGGGGACCCGGCAGGGTGAGGTAAGCTAGGAAGGACGGTAGGGAGCGGGAAGGGAACCTCGGGGGTGGGGGTGGGAGGAGGAGGTAGAAAGGAAGACAGACTCTTCACCAAAAGACTAGGAAGGAGGTCAACCAAAGAAAGTTGGTACAAGTCCTAACCCAAGATGGAGAAGGCGCGCAGTACAGAGCAGACTGCCCCGCAAGCCTCCAAGACGGGAGGCCAAGACAGAGAAGGTCTGAGCAAGAGGTTTAGGACCTGGAAGTCCAGCTCGCCTGCAAGTGGAAGGGCCAGCGGATCACAGCCAGGCCTCCTTCCCGCAAACAAGGCCTACAGAGCTCTGGCTGCAGCAGAGGCCTCGGTTTGTCGCTGGTTGAAAAGCACAGGGCTCTGGGAGGTCGAGGACGGCTCGGGCCACCATCTGCATACTATGAGACAGGACCCTAGTCTCCAGAGGTCTCAGCTTTCCCAGTCTGGGCAGCTCCTGCCTGCCTAGTCAACCCTACCGCTAAACTCAGGCTTCCCCGGCTTGGAGTCATTTTGATCCAGAGGGATGCATAGACCGATTTTCCGTCTACCACGGGGACGTGGGTTCCGGTCCTCGGGTCCGGCCTATCACCAGATTGAAAAAAGCCGAACGGAGCCCCGAATCAAAGGACGAACCCTTTCGGGAAGGCCTGAGGACGCAAGGCCTGGTTACTTCGTAGCCCATCGCTCGCACCCTCTACTTCCCCCGTTAGAGCGAGCGAAGAAGAGACGCGCCCGGGGCCTGCGCTCCCGAGCTGCATCCCCGGGGCGTTCCAGAAACAGAGGGGAGGAGGAGGATGGATGGCTCGCGGACAGCCCGCGGCTGGTCGCCCACCCGCCCGCCAAGCCCAGCCCGCTGCACGTACCCAGGTGGCTGTGGAAGGGCCGCGCGGCCAGCAGCGCCTGCACGCCGAACTTGAGCAGCTCGCCCGCGGCGGCCGCGGCGGCGGCGGGCGCCGCGCCCTTGGGCCCGGGGGGCTCGGTGAGGATCTCTTCGATCATGAAGCTGCGGTAGCGGTGCGGCCGATGGTCGGCACAGCCCTCGGGCGGCCCGAAGCGCGCGGCGCCCGACTCTCCCGGCCGTTGCATCGCGACACCCGCGGAGGCGCCCGCGGCTGGGCAGCGGCGGCGGCGAGGGCTCGGGCGCGGGGGGCCCCC